GCCTAACGCTTGCTATATAGGTTGGTTAGAAAGCTTAAAGGATTTCAGCATTGCACAACCATTCTATGTTTCACTTCTGAGTTACAATAAATTGTCAGCTTTGTTCTGTAATAAATTCATGCCTTAGGGACTTCATTTAAAAGGGAATTCAATGATTTGAAAACTTGTGCCTTGGAATTGGAAAAAAAGTAAAAGCCGCATGTTGAGAATCCAATCCACTTTCACTGAAGCTTGAGATGATTTCTATTATAGATATGACAATTGAAGTATTTATATAAACTATGATGCTAATGCATAAAAGTTGAAACTTGAATAACCATTTTGTTCTATCAATGCTTCATATACACAAGGTAGTCTTCATAATGATTCCATCTCCAGTGTTCTCTATATTCTAAGTTTTCAAATGAGCTTCGTGCATCTTCATGCACCATGTTGATGTTTGTGGGTATCATTTCTGTTAAACCCTCACGAGACTTCACTCGTCCTTTAGGGATGCCTAGGAGTTTAAAAGGCTTGTTGCATATGCTAAATGCAACCGTCGCTCTCACGAAAGAGGAGATTTGTTGTCATTTCATTAAGTATTTTCATTCTAGTTTTGCTAAGGGACTAGCAAAATATAAGTTTGGGGGTGTGATAAGCGCCAAATATTGCATATTCAAGCGCCCTTAATTGCATTATTTAAGTCCATTGTTTGCTTATATTATGTAGATTACTTTCATTTGCATGTTTTTGTATATTTTCAGGTCCATTGGCCAAAAAGAAGCAAGAAGGATGCTTTGTGGAGTTTTGGCCATCAAAAGGCACAAGGCTGAATTTCTGGCAGCAGTAGATCCTGAACTTTGCTCGCCATTTTGACCTTGAAAAATTGAGAACTGGACTTCCATCATAGCATGACATATTTAGAGCTCTGAATCAGCTTTCCAAATCTTCAAGTGGTTTGTCATTCGGAGTTCGGAGCAGAGATTTATGATCTTCTTATCATAGGTGCTCAGAACTGCCTGGCAGCAATGAAGTTCTGCCTTGTTCTTCAATTTTGACCAACCAGACTTGAGAATTGGATCTCTACCAAAACATAAAGTTTTTAGAACTCTAAATTAGCTTTCGAAATCTTCAAACGGTTCATCATTCAGAGTTAGGAACACAAAGTTATGGCCGTTTTACCAAAGTAGGTCCGGGCGGAGCAAGGCAAGAATGGAGCATTCTGCTCCAATTTCGAGTGCTCGAGCCCTTATTGCGAGTGCTCAAAATTGGGGCAGAATTGCATCCGGAAATGGCCCATTTTCAGCCACTTGCATCTTGGGTTCCTCAATTCTAATTTTCCTCTTTAATGGTTGGTTGGAGATGTTGGTTGGTGGGGGTTTTTAGAGCCTTATCTATACAAGAGAAGAGAAGGGAGGCGACACAGGATTAAAAAGCTTCATTTTGAGAAGATAGAGGAGAGAGAAGAGAGCAAAGAGGAGGAGTTCTTGAAGCTTCAAGGAGGAAGCTCGAAAATAGAGGGGAAAGCCTTGCTTCTTCCTTCATCTAGGGCCACCATGGGTAACTAAACCTCCTCCAGGGAGGTGATGAAGCTCCATTTTGTAAGCTTTGCTTTGTTTTGATTTATATTTGGGGGTTAATATATGTATGTAATCCTTCCATGAACTAGAGCTCTTCATTTGATGTAATGAATTTCAATATCTATACATAATCATCTTGAGTTAAATATCTTGTCTTAGATGGTTTTTCTCCTATGATTATATTGCTACATTTTCATAGTGACAATGGAATGGAGTGTATGGAAGTGTTGTTAATGGCATGATATTTAGGAGATTTGATAATATATTGCTTAGGATCTTCCTTTGATAGATTATTCTTGGATTCTATGTCATGTGCTTCTACTATGTGATTAAGGGCTTGATAACTCTATGCTTAGTGAGTATGTCTAAGGTTACAACCTAGTTTAGGTAACCAAAACATGCAATGCTTTGATAGGTTATTCTTACCTATTGATTTCATAAATTTCTTGAAGGGAATGTAATAATTTGTGTTGTTGCATCCCATGGTTATACATATATGTTATTCCCCTAAGTAAATCATATCCTAGCATGCTTATTGATGGTTCCGGAGTCTCTTCCCTAGTCTCTTCTCTATTGTTCTATCTCATCTAATTCTTGCAAGTCACTATTGTTTTATGCACATTTGAATTCCTAGTTTAGTGACAAACAAAACAAACCCTCTATGAACACCCCTTATCACTCTAAAATGACTCTAGACACTTAGGTTGCCATAGATTAGCGCAGTCCCAGTGGTTCGACTTACCCGACCAATAGCCCTATTTTACAATGATTCGTGCTATTGCGAAGGTTGATGTTTAATTGACCAACCGATCAACGGTATGGACATTATGAGTTCCTTGTTATGCCTTTTGGCTTGACTAATACGCCAGTGGCATTCATGGACTTGATGAACCGCGTCTTTCACGATTACTTGGACCAGTTTGTGGTAGTTTTCGTGGATGACATTCTTGTGTACTCACGGACTCGGGAAGATCACGAGGTCCATTTGAGTATTGTTTTACAGATTTTGCGGGAGCACCGATTGTATGCCAAATACGAGAAATGTGAGTTTTGGCTACAAGAGGTGAAGTTTTTAGGGCATGTTGTTTCAGAAGGTGGAGTATCAGTTGATCCATCAAAGGTTGAAGCAGTTTTGACTTGGGAGCGACCCAAGAATGTGTTTGAGATCCGCAGTTTCCTTGATTTAGCGAGTTACTATCGGAGATTTGTGAAGGATTTCTCCCATTTGGCAGCTCCTATGACCCGTTTGACCTGGAAAGGGGTCAAGTTTGTCTGGAATGAGGCCTGTGATTCATCTTTTCAGGAGTTGAAGACGAGATTGACTACAGCTCCAGTGTTGGTGATACCTGAGCGTGGCTTGGGTTATGTGATCTATTGTGATGCTTCACGTGACGGGTTGGGATGTGTGTTAATGCAGGATGGTAGAGTAGTGGCTTATGGGTCTCGACAGTTGAAGACTCATGAGTACAACTACCCTACTCATGACCTGGAGTTAGCGGCAGTTGTATTTGCCTTGAAGTATTGGAGACATTACTTGTATGGTGAGAGATTCGAGGTATTTTTAGATCACAAAAGTCTCAAGTACCTTTTCTCTCAAAAGGACTTGAACAACAGACAGAGGCGATGGGTCGAATTCTTGGAGGACTACAATTTTGACTTGCAGTATCATCCGGGCAAGGCGAATGTGGTAGTAGATGCCTTAAGCCGGAAATCTCATGGAACTTTGGCCAGTTTAGCTATTCGGAAGTGAAAGATGCTTGAAGATCTGGCAGAGATGGGATTACAGTGTTGTGATGATGATGCTTGCAGTGAGTCGGCATTCTTATTTAGTCTTGTGGCTCAGCCTACTCTTGTTGTACTAGTGATTGAGTCACAGGGACAGGACCCGGACTTAGATGCCATCCACGTTTTGATCTCTAGTGGTGAGACAGTGAAAGATTGGGGCTTGCATGCAGATGGGAGTCTACGGTTCAGGGGTTTGTTAGTGGTTCCCACATGTTGTCGTGAGGACGTCCTACGGGATTTTCACACTTCCCGCTTTGCAGTTCATCCAGGTGGTACTAAAATGTATCACAATTTGAGACGTCAGTATTGGTGGAGCGGGATGAAGAATGATGTTGCACAGTTTGTGGCTAGATGCCTTACCTGTTAGCAGGTGAAGGCCGAGCATCAGAGGCCAGCAGGTTTGTTGCAACCATTACCTGTAGCGCAATGGAAATGGGAGCATATTGCTATGGATTTTGTGACAGGTTTTCCAAGGTCAAGAAGGGGCAATGAGGCCGTATGGGTCATCATTGACAGATTGACCAAGATGGCTCACTTTTTGCCTATTAAGGCAACAGATGATGCAGAGAAGCTTTGTGTTCTTTATGTGAAGGAGATTGTAAGGTTGCATGGAGTTCCTGTAACCATTGTGTCAGATAGGGATGCTAAGTTCACTTCGAAGTTCTGGGAAGGACTTCAAGTAGCGTTTGGTTTAGCGTTGCATCTTAGTACGGCATTCCATCCATAGACGGACGGTCAGTCGGAGCGTACTATCCAGATTTTGGAGGATATGCTTCGGGCATGTGTGCTTGACTTGGGTGGTAGTTTGGAGGATCACCTTCCACTTATTGAGTTTGCCTACAACAACAGTTATCAAGTGAGTATCTAGATGGCTCCATTTAAGGCGTTGTATGGTAGACCTTGTAGGTCGCCTGTTTGTTGGACTGAGGTAGGTGAGACAGCTGCCTCAGGACCCGACATTGTACTCGAGACTACTGAGAAGATTAAGTTGATAAGATAGAGGTTACTTACAACTCAGAGCCGACAGAAGAGCTATGCGGATAAGCGGAGACGACCGTTATCCTTTGAGGTGGGAGACCACGTTTTTCTACGGGTTTCTCCACGGAAGGGATTGATAAGATTTGGAAAAAGTGGCAAGTTGTCGCCACGATTTATTGGACCGTTTGAGATTTTTGACCGAGTAGGAGAGGTTGCCTACAGGTTTGCTTTGCCACCACAGTTGGATAGGGTCCACAATGTTTTCCATGTATCGATGTTACGGAAGTACGAACCGGATCCATCTCACATTTTGAGTTGGGTAGATGTGGACATTGATGAGGATGTTTCCTACGAGGAAGGACCAGTTCAGATTCTTGACACACAACAGAAGGTGTTGAGGAACAAGACGATACCAATGGTGAAAGTCCTTTGGAGACACCACGGAGTCGAGGAAGTTACTTGGGAGCTCGAATAGGAGGTTCGGTCCAAGTACCCAGCGTTGTTTTCTTCCTCAGGTATGTCTTGATTTCGGGGACGAAATCCTTATAAGTTGGGGAGAATGTGATGTCTGTGTATTTATTGTGTGTGTGTAGTGTATTATAAAAGTAAAAGAAAAATAATTTAATGGTGGGGCCCATAAGGCACTTTAGAAAAGGGTCAAGACCATAAAGTTGGTCTCATTTTCCTGATTCCCTTTCTCTCTCTTCGTGCATCTCTCTCTCAACCCGTAAGCTCATTTTTCTCTTATTTTTTTGGTTTCAACTTTGAGGTTAGATTTCTCACTCATTTCATGTTGGAATTAGGTTCCGTTTGAGGCAAAACGAAGCTCGTGTCAAGCTCTATACATCCATACCATCAATTTCCAGTTTTGAGTCTTCCTTGGAGCTCGAATTTGAGGACCCATTTTCTAGGGTTTTGGTGCAATCTTGAGGTAAGGGCCCTTAATTCATGAAATCTTGTACCTTAGTGAGTTAATTGCCTCTAATTGTTGTTTAATTTGATTAGTTGTTTAAAATCTAGAGAATTGTTGATATGTATGCATATATGTTAGTTGTGTGACTATATTTGTTGATTGTTCTACGTGAAGCATGTTTAGGACTTGATTATATATGTTCATTGTGCTAGAACTTGTTATGTATAAGCATGTTATGACTTTCTTGATTATTCTTGCGAATTATGCCATGTTGCTTAAATTGGATAAAGTATGGAATGATGAACTTGTGTATGTCATTGAGGTATTCATGCATTAACATTGGGCAGGAAAAGGGAAAGAATTGATTTACTTCAAAAAGGGGAAATTTCGGGAAAGTGTTTTTGATGAAATGATTTTATGCGAAACCCGGTCGCTGCGGGGGTACCAACGGGCCGGAGGTTAATATAGCCTAGAGGGGACTAAGGAGTCGCCCTAGTGTGGTTGAGCTAGCTGGGCCCCATAATGACGCCACGGGGTTACCAAGGGTCAGGGACACTAGCCAATCCTCCTCTCGTGTCGCAGCGGGGTTACCAAAGGGCGGGCTGTATTAACGTTTGAAAGTGATGGTTTTGAGAATGAAAATGGGGAGTGTCATTGACATGCGTTGCATTTCATTGCATTGCATTGCATTGTTTATAATTGGAATTGAATTGTATGTTGTATTTGATCCCCTACGTTGTATGATCCCTATCTTCCATTGGCCTATGCTTTTCTTGAATTCACAAGGACACAAGATTTGTGTCTTAAGTGTCTCTGCTGAGCTATATGCTCACCCCTATATCTATATTTTTTTTTTCAGGTCTTGGAAAAGAACCGGTGGACGACAATCCACCCTAACTTTGAAAGTTGCTAGAGGAGCATTTTCCTTGTTATTTTGTAGTAGACTACTCATTTGTTCATCCCTCATTTTTTGTAAAATTTCAAAGGTGTAATGATGTAAATTTCTTTTGAAGAACCATGATCATGTAGTACACTTATGATACTTGATGACATATGGGATGCGAACTTGATGATATGTAACTTGTTGATGAATGGAAGGATAATCCTAGCTTGAAGCATTGTCTATATTAATAGGTTGTATCATTATCTTTTGTTGTCGTGAATTCAGAAATTAGTTGCATGACAGGTTAATTATGCATTTAAACAGGTTGCGGTATGTCCATTTTTAGGGGAGGTTATGCCGAATTTTTTTAAAAAAAAAAAATTCTTGGCACTAGTTTTGGGATCGTTACAACATGTCTAACATAGTTTTGTTGGTTGAAGAAAAAAAATAGTGTTCTTCACCAAAGGGTGAGTGGTCTAGAGTTATCAAGCTTTTACTTTAAAGGGAGGTTTGGGGTTCAAGCCTCAATGGAGGCATTTGTGTGTGAGTAAAAAAAAAAATTAAATTAAATTAATAGTGTTCTTCAACTGTAAAAAATATATAATTTTCTTATATATATGGTAGTGTAAAAATTAAAATGATTATTTTTTGTCATAAAAACCTTTGCATTAATAATTTATACAGGAGTATGACATTTATATAAATATTTGAAAGTTTTAGCCATGTAAAGCACATTATTTTCTTGTAAAACTCTTTTTTTAATTTTATTTTTAAATATCTCTTACATTTTAGTTACTTTAATAAATTTTCTCATTTAGAGTGTTAGATTTAGGGAATTTAAAGAACAAGTAAATAAGAAAGAAAAAATGAAGAAAAATGTTATCTCACATTTATTTTGTAAATAAAAAGTAAAAAAAGAAAAAAGAAAAAAACATACCATAAGGGATTTTGAACCATTTTGAAAATTTGGTTAGACGTCGAATTAAAAATTGAGTTGGATTCTAATTTTTAATCTCATATTCAACGGAATTGACGAGAGCCTTCTAACTAAATAAAATTACCATTTCACCAAATTCACTCATTTATACATGTGATATGCAAACAATAAAGTTGGAATTGAAATTCAACCACACTTGAATCTCAAAGTTTATCTAAACAATAGATTTGAAATTGAATTGTTAGGATTGTAATACTATGAAAATACAATCCCAATTTAATTTTAATTCTGAGCAATCAAACATAACCTTATTATTTTTCTTTGGAAAGAGAACTTATAATTATCATTATCATTGTTATTGTTTTTGTTGTCGTTTTGGAAGAGATGACTAGTTAACTTTTAAACAGAAAATTTTCCCAGTGGTGTATATCAAGTGCAACTAATGCAACATTCCTCACGGTGGTGTCTTCAATCATAAGTAAGAAAGGGGGAGGAATTTTATTAAATTGAATTACAACCTTGTAGGCACTAAAATTTAGTGGGCTTTGGTTTTAACGAATGGACCCATTAAATATAGGCCTAATGTTTAAATAAATTATTTAATTTACCAGGCTTGGTCCACTTGAATTATTTAATTAGCCCAGCCCAGATAATTAAATGAAACGATAATTATTCCTAATAAAATATATTTTGAATAATTATCTTTAAGGATAATTATCACAATATAACCGGCCCGGCCCAGTTATAATTTTTTTCCTTATCAGGAGATGACACGTGTCATCATCCTATTAATCCAAGAAGCCTATAAATAGAGGCTTGGAGGAAGAAAAAGGGGAGAGGATTCAAAATTCAGAAGTCTACAAATTCAGACACAAATTCAGAATTCAGAAGTTCAGAGACTCAGAAATCCAGAGACTCAGAATTTAGACACAAATTCAGAATCGAAACCCAAAAGCGAAGAACATCAAGCACATCCAACAACGTGCCGTTCTTCATCAAATTCCACAGTGATTCAAGAACAAGCTCGTGCAGCCCTTGGATCCAACCAACCAAAAACAAGGAGATCGAATTAGAGGACCATTCTTTTTTTGTAAAAGATATTACAAAGGACTGTACTCCACATTCATAAATTAATAAAATTCTATTTTGCTCCATATTTTGTTTCTATTGCAAACTTACAAAATTTGTGTGTACAAATTTGTGGCACGCTCGGTGGGACTACCTTTGCCTCTCATCTCTTTCTCCTACCATTAAGTTTCTTCTCTATCAGATTCTATGGCTCCCCCTAAGATTCAGACAGACAAGAAAGCCCAAAAGAACATCGCTATTGCAAAGGTCGACGCTAAAGCCACCATGAAAAGTGGCACGAAGACCAAATTAAGCGATGGAAGTACCTTGACGGGCCCTGTGACACGTAGCAAGTCCCAGGCGATGGCGTCATTCAAACTTTAGCAAGATGTGGTGAAAACTAATCCTGCAACACCGGCGAACGTGAAAACTCAACATGTCAAAAACCTTGACGTTGTTCCAGAGGAGGCTCCACCACCAGATTCACTTCGTTCTATCTATGATGCTCACTCTAGTGTCGGTTCACCCCCAGAGTCACCACGTCAGACTTCAGAGCAATCAATCACTTCAAGGAACGTGGATTCTCAAGGCCTATCATACTCAGATGTGGTTGCTGCTATGATGACTGGAGCTGCTACGGTGGAGGAACAACTAGCAACTATGGCTCATTCCATTGAGAACCTCACAAAGACTATTGAAGAAAAGGACTTGCAAATCGCTACACTAATGAATAAATTGGAAGTTCAGACCTTCGGTGAAACACCAATGCCATCCAGGAATCGTACAACTTTCACACCACCGCCGTCTGGGAAACTTACATCTTCTACAGCAATACTAACGGAGAATCCTAATTCTACAGCACAAGGTACTCACAAGGAGAATACCAAACAGACGCCGGTGACAGAACAAGTGACCAGTCAAAACCAGACGCCGAGGATAGAACAGGCGACTGGTCAAACCAATCATACCTCTTCTTCAGTCTCTTCATTATCTGTCGAACAATTGCAAGATATGATAATGAATACAATCCGAGCTCAATATGGTGGTGTCTCACAGAGCACTCTCATGTACTCAAAGCCCTACACAAGGAGAATCAACAGTATGAGAATGCATGTAGGATACCAACCTCCGAAGATTCAGCAATTTGACGGAAAAGGTAACCCCAAGCAACACATTGCCCATTTTATCGAGACTTGTAACAATACCGGAACAGAGGGGGACTTACTAGTCAGACAGTTTGTCTGGTCCCTTAAAGGAAACGCGTTCGAGTGGTACACTGACCTAAAGTCAGAATCAATTGATAGTTGGGACCAGATGGAACGAGAATTCTTGAACAGGTTCTATAGCACTCGTCATACTGTTAGTATGATAGAGTTGACTAACACGAAGCAATGGAAGGATGAGCCTGTAATCGACTACATTAATCGGTGGAGAGCCCTCAGTCTTGACTGCAAGGACCGTTTGTCAGAAGTATCTGCTGTGGAGATGTGTATGCAGGGAATGCATTGGGGCCTGCTCTACATTCTGCAAGGCATAAAACCTGGCACATTTGAGGAATTGGCTACGCGTGCCCATGACATGGAGATCAGTATGAAATCCCATGACGGCAAAAGTCCCATGACTATAGAACCACGCAAAGATAAAAAGGACTGGAAGAAGGGCGACAAGTCATCAAAAAATGCGGCTAAAGATTCAATGGCTATCTCAACCACCCCAATTAAGATATCTGTTAAAGATGACAAGAAGGATGATAAAAAGCCTCGCCAGTTTCAAGAGAGGGAGAGACAGCGTCCTACGCTAAAGGAGTTAGAGAAGAAAGAATACCACTTCCCCGATTCTGATGTTCCTGGCATCTTGGAATGTTTACTTGAAAGTAAAGTTATAGAACTCCCTGAATGCAAACGTCCTCCAGAGATGGGACGTATCAACGATCCAAAATACTGCAAATATCATCGCATTATCAGTCATCCAATTGAGAAGTGTTTTATCTTCAAGGAGGTGGTAATGAATCTGGCAAAACAAGGAAAAATCTTGTTGGATACAGACGAAGTTGTAACTTCAAATCATACTACTGCTACTTTGACAACCTCTGTCGTGGGGAATACTCGTTCTCAACCTTTAACTTCGGAGGTATCTTGCACAACTATCCAGTTTGGTTCATTAGAACCAATCCCAATCTATATTGGCCAAGGGAGTGTACGTGACATTTCAACATTTGGAAGGGTTTTTCCTCAGGATGATGAAGAAGGATGGACTCTAGTGACAAGAAAGAAACCACGGAAGCAACAAGTTGATATTTTTCAGACTAATTATTCTGACAGAGGGCAAAGGAAGAAGAAACCCCAATATCACCATAAACAGTCTGGCCATAATAAAAAATGGGTCAAGAAGACACAGTCAACTAAACACACCTCTATAAGCAAAAAGAGTCAGAAGCCTATTACTTTGCAAGAGTTCTTTCCAAAAGGATACCTAAATGACGAAGTTGTAACAACTTACATGGTTTTAACTAAGAAAACAAGCCTTAATGATGAGAAGAATGAGGATCAAGATGAAGTCCAGACTATAGAGAACCATAATATAGCCATCATTGAAAAATCTGATGATGATAAAGTGGTCAGAGGTACGTTTAAGTCATGTTGTGCACCAATTATTTTCACGGACGAGGATCTTCAGTTGGGTTCGAAGCCGCACAATTGTCCTCTCTTCGTCTCCGGTTACATAAAAGAACGAAGAGTTACTCGTATTCTTGTTGATGGTGGCTCGGCGGTGAATCTAATGCCAAAATTTACGATGAAAAATATTGGCATCACAATTGACGAGTTATCGCGTAGCCGTCTTATTATTCAAGGTTTTAACCAAGGAGGACAGAGAGCTATCGGCATGATTCGGGCAAAGCTAACTATTGACGAGCTCCAAGCAGAAACCTTATTCCTTGTGATTGATGCAAAGACGTCCTACAATTTGTTATTGGGAAGGCCTTGGATACATAGTAATGGCGTCATTCCATCGACTCTTCATCAATGCTTCAAATTCTACAAAAATGGCGTACAAACGGTTGT